GGTCAGGGGCGGGGGTCAGGCTCCTGGGGACCCGCCGGCCCCGGGGGCGCAGGGCGTGAAAATAAATGTCACCGTGCTGGTGTTATTAACGCACAGGAACTGGGGTAGGAGCTGCAGCCACAGATGGAATCGCTACAACGCGTGATCTTACAGAAAGACGACTTCTGGACAAGTCTAACGAGGGCTCCCGTTGTAATTGGAAGGCCTTGTTTCGCACTACTTAAAAAAAGAAAACAACAAACCAAACTAGGAAGTGAAAAAGAGAAACTGAGAGAACTTGGAGGGACCTGAGGCATTTGTCGTATCTTGATCTCCCACTTAAAAATTAATATTTTTAAGAACTGAAGCTTGTTTTCATAACGTACTTTATTTTCTCTCTCAAAAAACAAAGGAGAAAGTTGTGATTCCGGTCCTGTCCAGAGCTACGCGTTTGAAGCCAAGCATGTAATCACTTAGTAGCAGATTTTTCTTATAAAACACCGTTTTAAGAATGATGGGAGAATAAACATTTATGGTTTCTCTTATTGCTCTGACACTTAAAAGCAAACAGTCTGCCAAAATACTTCAGCGGTAAAAAAAAATCCGGTGGATGGTAGTATAGCAATTGCCATAGCAACCAATGGTGATATCATGGTAAGCAAAGTTAAATTTTGGAACATGCAATAGGAGCACGTAATGGTCTGTACTGGTTTGAGCGATACCGATAAACATCTGCCCGGGAGAAGCTGGCTGAGGGCTGGACAAGAACAAAATAATTTGAAATGGAAGGCTGCGTGGTTTTTGGTGTGTCCGATATGCGGGCGTTTCTGGTGATTCCTGTACTTTCTCTGTACTCCGTTGCAATTCCTAGGACAACGTCTGCTTAGAAATTCTGGGAAAACTTGCGGCGCTGCAGCAGCTTTCGGGGAAGAGCCCGATCTGTAGCAGAACGGTGTCAGACAGGCGTTGCAGAAAACGGCGTTGAGGTGTTGGGAGGTTCCTGCGAGCCTCAGACTGTGCGAGAGCGACCGGTGCGGAGCGTTGGTTCTGGGGCCGGCGGGGAGCGCTGAAGCATCCTCCTCCTGAACCTGGTGTTCGGTGACGCCGTGGTTGTGTGGTAGGAGGGACAGGTTGAATTCCTAAGCTCATAGTTCAGAAATTGGAGGCTGTCAAAAATGAACAACAAAGAGAGAAGTCTTCAAGAGCCTATGTTTTGGGTTGGTTTTTTTCCCAGTGAGCAGGATCCTCAGCCTCTGGGCTTCCGTTGTTTTTAGAAAACTCCAGGCCGCAGTCGCGAGCGGCGTTGCCTGTTTCGCCGTGCTTCCCTGCGGGGAAGGCTAAAGCCCTGGCAGCCCCCCTTCTGCAGAGGGGGGGCCGCTGGAGCTGCTATGGCCAGCACTGCTTCTGCATGGGGCTTCCCCCACCCCAACTCACGGTTTGCTGGTTGGACTGGGAGTCAGCTGGAGTGAATTAAATTCCCGCTGTCCCCAGGTAGTGCGATCCTGAGCTGGAGGGAGGAATCGTTGAGTTGTGCTTCCCCTCCTCTTTGGAAGGGAGCTATCCCAGGCGTAGCTGGTGGTGGTTTTCCGCGCTCTGCTCAAGGCACGCTTCATCGGTGTTCTCCCCCGAGTCGCACTGGCCGTCAGCTAAGGTGTCAAAGGGAAACCAAAACTGTTTTCTTCCCCGAGATGCGGTAGGGCGTTAGTGATAGAGAAGAATTTCGGCAAAGAAAGGAGGAGAGCTCGGGGCGGGGGGAACAGGATGAGCTTCCTTACCCTCTGTTCCTGCTAATAAGGTGTGTAGAAGTGCAAGTGTAAAGGCTGTAGATGATACGTTGGGGAAAATGCCTCCACGTACGTTGTCGGGTAGCGTGTTTTCTTAACACAGCGCCTTGGAGCCTGAAGTGTTAGTGCCTGAAGGGCCATAGCTAGAACAGCGCAGTAAGCACAGCCATAAAAAGGGGTGAACTGGAATGCCAGGAAAGAGAGGAGGATCTCGTTGGAGGGAATGTTTCTGGAGCGGTAGGAGAATGACAAGAATATCTGGGAAACTTGGTGTGAATGACACGGGGAAAACGGCTGAGGTCAGCGAGTTGAGAGCAGAGCAGGAGCCGAGTGCTTGACGGAACTTTTGAGAACTTTATAGGGGGGAGCATTTGTGGGAGGTCTTGTTGTCTTGCTAGATGTAAAATCATTGGAAAGCTAATTGAGGAGAGCAGAGTTAATAGACTGTGTTAATGAACGATGCCAGTTCTGCACCTTGGCAGTCGAACACGGAGCCGCAGTCAGGGTAGCGGTCTTCCACTCTTAGCCCTGTTTATAGGGTAACGCGGTTCTGTTCTTAATTATGTTTTATGGGCTGGGGGACGGTTTGGCTGTTTGTTACCTCCTTTTCATGGAAAATCTACAGATGTCAGTGGGTTTATATAAGGATCAGGGAAGGAATGTGGCCTCTGGGTGACCAATAGTAGCAACAAAGGAACTTTGGTGTTGTCTTTGATTCAATATTATTAGAAGCAAAAGTATGTTGTCTTTTCTGTCCGCTGCTGTGTTTCTAGGGCCCTTG